ATATATATATATATATATATATATATATATATATATATATATATATATATAATTTTCAGCAATTATTCACGAAGTGAGACCATTGTGTGTTTTTTAGTTTTTGTGTATTCACATGTACTTTATTTTTTATATATATTTCAATCAACTTATGGTTTTAACTTATGATTTTGACATATATAATTTCTCTAATATTATTTCTACATAAATTTTCGAATCCGAGTACACCCCGAGTACTACTGGGTACTCCCAAGTACTATCTACTCGGTAGTCCGTCAAATAGGTACCGAGTAGCGGGTTCTACAACATGCTCATATGCTACTATGAATGTCCCTTTTTGTGTTTTCAAAACCTTTTAGGTTGTGTTACAATGATTGTTATAAGTTATAAATTGAAACTAAACTTAAAATGCATATATAATCAAATTTATAATGAAATGTTACACACACATGGAAATGATAGATTAATTAAGATACCATTTTCAGATTTACACAACATCTATAATGGTGATTTCAATGGGAGAGTTGAAAGAGGTGACAAGTCTAGTTGTCATTTAATGGATTTAATGTTTTATTGAACTTTATAGAGTTCAATTCATTGTAGGCAAAAGTTGATATTGTATGCATGAAATGTAGAAGGATGATGTGGCAATCAATGAAACTCAATGGAGTTTAATGCATTGTGGATGGCCTAAAGAGCATTTATAATTAGGACTATAAACAAACTGAACAAACACGAAAAAAAGGTTTGTTCATGATTGTTCTTGTAAGTTAACCAAACAAATAAATGAACACAAATGGATAAATGAGCAAGTTTTCTTGTTCATGTTCGTTCGTTTAACAAATTACCTTGCTCATGTTCGTTCTTGTATGTTTATGGACATGCTAAATGAACATAAACGAGCAAAAATAAATTAAAAAAATATAAACACACAAAATTGAACATATATTAACATAAACAAACATATAATATAGTAATATAATAAAAACAATTGAAACTCTATGAACATAAAAAAACTTAAATGAATGAATGTAAATGAACAACATAAGAGAACGTTCATGAACATAAATGCACAAACAAGACATTTGTTCATGTTTTGTGTTTAACTAAACGAATGAGAATTTTCTTTTCATGTTCGTTCATTTGGTAAATAAACGAACTTTCCACCAAATGTTCGGTTCATTTACAACCCTATCTATAATGCCTTGAAATCAATATCCATCGCAATACTAATATGACATCCATAATGCATTGAACTCCAAATCTATTTCAATACCAACATGACATATATGCCATAATGGTATAGCATAATCGGTTGAATGTCAGTTAGGCATACCACCTCATTCAACTCTTCCATTGAAATATGCATATTCTACTAGAGGATACTCTAAATGAGACCAATCAAAATGAACCATATAATTGGCAATATGTTTAACCTATAACAAAAGCATTAGTAATTATCATATATATGATTTGGTACAAATTTTCAAATTTGTATAGTTAAAACTCTACAAAACAATATAAATCATCCATACTACCTACATGATGGATTAACTTTCAATTTCAAGATCGTTATGATTGTAATCCATATTTTTAAACGTTCTAAATTATGACATATTACTGGGCAATAAAAATAAATATTAAGTTATCTTTGAAATTAGAACAAATTACTGAAATAGTCCCAGTGGTTTGGCTAAACTTGCGTGTTTGGTCCCTATGTTTTGTTTTGCACTCAGACCATCCCCACATTTCGTTTTATTACCCACCTAATCTCTGGGTCCGTTAGTCGTCGATTCCAAACACTAAGTTCCCCCACGTGCTTCGCATATGAGGGGTATTTTCGTCATTTTATATACAAAATCTATTAGAAGACCCCTAAACCCTGATTCTCTCTATTTTTAACTATGCCCTTTCTTCATCTCTTTCATTTCCTCGTCTGTGAAGTGTCGATCAACCCTAATGGAAAAAATTGCAAGTGTGGGCAAGTTGATCTGATACGAAGATCGACTACCAAGAAAAACCCTAGAAGACTTTTCTATTGTTGTACCGGGAAGGTAAGGGAAATTTCTTCTTAAGTATATCTATATATCACATACCTTTAACACTCAAGAAATTACTCAAAATGAAGGGTGAAAAATGTGGTTTCATATATTGGGTTAATGTGGACAACTTTAATGGTGAAAAAAACTGAAAAAAAAGTATCTCCCCTGATTTGCAGAAGTCATTGGATGAGCTTTAACATGAGAATATGGCCTTGAGGCTGTTATTAGTGCTCAGTTGGGTTTTTTGTATCAATTTTAATTTACAAGCTTTAATTTATGCTATCAATGTAATTATCTTTTGTTTCATCAGAGTATCTTGCAGCAAGCGAGGCGGCAAAGGAGGCTATATGGCGAAAGAACTTCATCGGAGACCTTGGAGTTGTACCAGCTATTAAAGAGCCAATGGAAATTTTCTGTGATAGTGAAAGCGTTATTGCCTTAGCCAAGGAACCAAGGGATCACGGGAGATCCAGACACATCGATAGAAAATACAATTTTATTAGACATCGAATAGAAGAAGGACTCCTCGTGGCAAAGAGGGTATCATCGGATGAGAACCCAGCAGATCCCCTCACGAAGGGACTGACTCGGGTTAAGCATCTCCAGCATGCTCGGAGCATAGGGCTGAAGGATGATATTAGATTTAGTAGTTAGATAACCTCGAAATTTGTAAAGTGTAATTGACATTAGATGATGAATAAAAGGTGTTTTATTTATGAGTAAAGTGTTGTTATCTCTTGTCGATCGTTTACTATATTTCTTTTGCATGTTTTGACGTCCAGAATAATTTTGTTTGGTATAACATATTATTCAAACCTCCACAGTCGGACATATGTCGGAAGTAGGTATGAATCAAGACTGTCATGATTGGTTGCAGACGTCTACGGTGTTGGACAAGGCTACAACAATCATGAGTGCTCATAAGTTCTGAGCATTGGACTCAACCCACGCTCACTGGAATCACTTCATGGAATTCTATCTCGAGTGATCGTGAGACGGTAATATCATATAAGTCTTTAAACCTAGAGATATGATTTGTTACTTACAAGTTGGATATGCATTGATTGTACGAAAACGCATTGGTAACTTGATGTTATAAAACGTGCTTTTGTGTATAATTCAATGAGTGGTAGAACAAACATATGACTCGAATTTTATCTGTTCCTTCTTGGATTAGAAGCTGATATCTGGGCCACTCGATGATTTTGTTTTGACCTATGTACCGGGCCAGGTCAGAACTAAGTTGATGTGTTCAATTAAGTTCTTTGTCAAACAAATCAGAAATCGGGAAACAAAGTGCTGGACAATAATTAAGACATTGTTCCATGTATTTGTCCGGCTGATATCTAGAATAGAGGATTATATGATCACTTATCTTAAATGGCATACCATCATCTTCTCAGTTCCGAGAAACCTTGAAAAGAGCTACGATTGTCGATCGGTTCCTGAAGTCATACTTGCAGTAATAGTTATTAGACTTATCCAAGTGGGAGACTGTTGGATAAGGTGTCTAAGTCCATAACTATTTCTGGTACGTACTTGACCCGACCCGGCATGGTCCATTTGGGTTGCATGGCACCATGCAATTGGATAGATTAAATGAGAGAAATAACATTTGGAGATTATTAATATATCAGTTCTACTATATTAATAATATTATTTGATTAGTTTGATCAAGAGTTAATTTAGAATTAATTAAGTGATCAAAAGATAACTAATTAAATATATGGGTTTATTATGTAAATCATCCATATCTTGTATAGTGGGCTAAGAGGCTCCATGGATTATCAAGTTCGGTTCCACACATAGGATGCTCCATGGGAGTTACAAACCCATGGGTCATGGAAATGAAGAGTCATGACACATTAGGGCTTACATGGTGTAACCCTAGATGTGTCAACACTATATAAGAATCCCATTCTCCACCAAAATCAGCTACACATATGAAACAAGAGGGCTAGGTCGATTTCAAGAAGTGTACATTCTCTCAAAAGTCTTTCCAAGAGCATTTGGTGTTGTGTGAAGCATTCGAGGCATCACACTTGCGGTGCTAGGCTCACAAGGTTTCAAGGAACATAAGCAACAACAAGGTAAGTTATTCTATCTTTCATTCAAGTTAAAAAATTGTTCCCCATGTATGCTAGATAGGAATATAACCTTGGAATTCAACTTTGCATGATAATTAGACAAACATAGATCCAAGGTTATTAGGGTTGCATGTACACTTAGGAAGTGTTAGAATGCTCAAAACCCATCATATATGTGTTTAATTCTTACCACTACTGTGAGTATCATTCCAGGATAAGGCCCTTTCATAAAAGTCTTCCAAACCAAGGTAATCTGTTTTACCAGCTAGAAAACCTTTCTTTAATGGCCCTAGACAGATGTATATCCATTTGAAAGTTCTAGTCTCAGAAGTTTGGTTTGGCTCACTTTTGACCTCTATCTTAACTGTTGTGCCTGGGTTTCGAGTGTGAAGTTCTTGAAAATAGTCTTGTAGTGTAGTATATTGCCCTACATAATCGCCCCTTACTTGATTCAATGCTTATGTTTTAGCCCTAAATAACTTCATATTCGAAATATCTACCTGGTATTCACGTTGAAATTGTTCTTATAAAGCGCGTGTAGGGACTGTAGGGTTACTTTCAATCTGTTGCACTATTTTCTTTGCCAAAAACTTGTAGGTACAAGCTTTCATAATCCTTTTTTGTAGACATCTATGCCCTTTTTCGTAGGTCTTGATCTCCCAATCAACATCTTGTTCCCACTTGCTAGCATAAAGTACCCATAGACACTTGTTTTCGTCGCTTTCTTTATTGCTTTGATTGGGCCCACATGGATCAAGTTGACCAGGTCTGGGATAGTACCTTTACAAATAGCTCTCACTCTGTTTTTGTCATTTTTTATGAAGTCTAGTTCCCTCATTGTCTCCACAGCATGTTGTCTTATTGCATCTTTCAATTATTCAGATGAGGTGAATTTTTGGTACACATAGAATGGATCACTAATTCTTGCTTCACTGTTTTCCATTGCCCTTCGGATTGGCTTAATTGACTTTCTTCTCCTATTTCTCCCACCTTCATCAGATGATGACTCATATAAGAATACCTCATTGTTTACAACCCCAATATCATCAATTTCCCTTGTTTCTGTTTCCTTGACATTTGACCCTCCAATTTCACCCACCCACTCTATATCTTCATCAACATTTAACAAAAAACTCATTCATCTCTATCTGAGGTTCATCTAGGAGGTTATCTAAGCTTACTAAGAACTCACTATCATCACTATCACCAGTATCATCATCATCATCATCTCTATTGTCACTTTCATAGTAATCCTTCCAGGTTCTTCATTTAGAATTTCAACAGCTTCATCAAATATACCTTATGTTTCACATTAGGCATCAATATGGTCACTTTCAGTTTCTTTTGTTGGCACAACATCTGGTTTACTTGATCCAATATAATACCATGTTTCAATTTCCTTCCATTCCAAAAATAGCCTTCTACTACACGAAGGTTGATCAACGATTTATTCTATCCTAACTTTACTAGGGGTAGATGACATTGTATATGTATGCAACATTGTTTTACCATGTTCAACATAAACTTCAATCAGTTTATGTTTACCCACGTATGTACCCAATTGGTTAATGTCAATGTTACTAGCCAATGCAAACAACCCAAAGTCCAAATCTGAAAAGGGTCTTTTGAAGTTGTAATAAAGCAACTTACCCTCCTCAACACAACCTAGGGTCTCCATCATATCATCAATATCATGCACACAAAACTCATCAATGTATCTTTCTTTTCCCTTGATGTACCTCCTTCTAGGAAACTTCATAAACTCTCCACCATAGAATATTCTGATGGAGAAGATAGTTGGATGACCAGCTGTAAAAGAGAAAGCTTCAACTTATTAGCTTGAAATTTGTAAGTGATAAATTTAACTTTTGAAAATAAGGGGTTGCCGTAATGTTTTTCAACATCTATTTCTTTCATGTTTGCTCTAATCCTCCAACCCATCATTATTGCGTCGATGATTCTTGCAAAATTTTGAGGAGTTAGGGTTTCTACTCGATTTTGATGAGTTACAGATTAAGTGAGAGATAAAGAGTGTGTGTGAGAGGTAGGTGAACGTAAAATGATCGGGATGAAGAAATGATTGGCATTGCATTTAGGCACCATGTATAAAATGACAAAAATACCCCTCATATGCGAAGCATATGGGGGACTTAATGTTTGGAATTGACGACTAACGGATCCAGATATCAAGCGGGTAATAAAAAGAAAACGTGGGGATGGTCCGAATGCAAAACAAAACATAGGAACCAAACGCGCAACTTTAATCAAACCACAGGGACTATTTCAGTAATTTGTTCTTGAAATTATAATTGACAAAGACGAGTAGAAACCAAGTTAAATAATGTTTGAAGGTTTATGATTCTATTAGTCATTAGTTCTACATGTGTTTTTATTTTGTTAATGGTTAATGATGTAGTTAGTGGTTTCTAGATAATATACATTGTGTTCAATTATATGTTTAATACCATTTTTAGGACCAATTATAATGATATATTTGTTTAAATATCTTGTGAACCGATGTAGATAAATAAAGACCCAGCTTTTTGTTAATATGTTATGTTCCTTGTGCGTATTAATATACAAATGATAAACAAAATCTTGTAAAAATATTGTGTTTTTTTTTTTTTTTTTTTTTTTTGAAATCGAAGGTGATAGCAATGGTGGCGTTGGTAGCAGTTGTACCGAAGGTGATGAAGGTAACAAAAGAAGATGTGACGGTGAAGAGGATGAGTATGGTCGAGTCTCTTATAAATTATCATTTTATAAGAGTTAGGATTTGATTATATAAAAATTTGGAACAATATATCATATTCTTATAAAATAACATATAATTTTTATAAAACATAGAAACATTATTTTACTTTTGTCTAATTATTATTTAGAGCATATACTTTTTTTTTATATAAAATATAGAAACATTTATTTAATTTTTGTCTGATTATTATTTAGGATCTTAGATTCAGTGTGAAATGCTATTTTTTTTTATATAAATATAAAAATAATCTATAGATCTTCTTTAAAAAGGTTTTCTTGATTTCATTTTCTCAAAATAATGTGAAAAATGGTGATTGATTATGCCGATCGTAATTATCATTAGTTATTACAAATTAAGTACTTTTTCTTGTAAACAACGAAAATAAAACATTATAATTTATGTAAATAAACAATTTAATATAAAATGTAAAATACTTGGTATAAAAATTACCCATATTTTTTTTTTTCTTCATATTATTCATTCTTATAAGATAAAGTGTTTTATATTAGCCAGTCTTATAAAATGACTTTTTTCCTCAATCTTCGCAGTAATAATGGCTTAATTTAAATAAAATAAATATTAATTAAAAATAAAAGTAACAAATAATCAAGAAGTGAGCAGTCTAATTTAAAACCTTGTTTAACCAATTTTCACATGCTGAAACAGTGAAACGTTTATTAAATCTACAGTTCGTATTAACCTTCTATTAATGAATTTTAATTTTTGAATGTTTACATCTAATGTTTACAAATATATTATTAAACTGGATGTATAATATATTTTATTAGTCATGATAGTATATGCATCGGGTTCACGTATCTGGGCAATAAATGCCTTCTTGCATTGCCCAAAGCTTCATCTGTCCTAGGTGTCAGCCCCATTAACATTTCAATTTATTTCCTCCGTAGAATCACGATTCAAAACTTTTCAATTATTATTTAAAATTTTAAATAAATATAAATCTTAATGTGTGATTACATTTACTTGAGCAATTAACTAAAGGAGAATTTAAATCAACATGGGTCAAGAAAATATTTGGTCTAAAAAGCCCATGGACCAGTATCTAAAAGGTCTTTCCATTCATTCTATAGTAACATTCGACCCATCCCAGTCATTGGAGCATACTTTTCATAACTTACAAGTCAAGATTGCTACTAGGGTTTGCAAAAATTGGCTTTAGAATCTTGCGAGTAATAACAAATGATATATTTTATTACAATTTGGTATCAATCTATCAAGTTTGGAAAAACTCATGCCCGATCATAAGGGAGTTCAGGGTGTGCGATCGTATGTTTTAAATAAAAAATGGGCATAATTTTGATAAAATAAGTATATATAATATATATAAAATGATGTTAAAATTCAATGCTATCTTCTCAATTAGCTTAACACACCAATGCTCACTTTTGATCCGAAAGGTTGTAGTTTCGAAGCATGTTATCCCTCCATATCCACTGAAAATTATGTTATTTAGTTGCCTACTAATTTTGGGCCCATGAGTAGTCCCCACACAAACATGTAATCAATCTAGAACAATATTTGGATTACTACTACATGACAAATCAAACCAACAACTAGATACCAGCAGTTGAGACTAGGATTGACGAACACATCAAAATTAAAGACCCCAAACGTATAATGTCCACTCTTCATCATAAAAGAATGATCATGCCTTTTTGCTCGAAGTTAAATGTAATTTAGTTCATGAAAATTATCATTTATTAACCCAAAAATGACCCTACTTTGATGCAATTAAGAATTACATTGTATAGGTAACAATATACGAAGCATTAAATGGACAATTAAAACATGAGCAAGACTTGTTGTCTGACATGGCGTTTGCGACGTCTAGGCCGAAGCTTGGTCAAATCCCCAAGTCAAAGGTTAGCATTCAAAGGTCAAAAAAGAACAACATACTTTTGGGTGTCTTAGAGGGCACTAAACACACCATCTTGATTTATGACGTAATGGAAGATAAAACACAAAAATATATTGGGTTGATGTCTCATGAAGCTGTTAAGACGGCCTATCATTTTACAACTTAGTTTTTGGATGGTGACACTGCATAAATTTCATTGTTTATAGTTTAACTTGGCGCCTAGGACACTATAGGGGATGTATGAACTTTTACCCTTCGTTTCTTATTTCAAAACCTCTGTAAATACCAAAAAGAATCACTAACTGTAAACATTTCCCAAATGAATTCCGGTAATTAGCGAGGATTTTTTTAACATCCTGTTTTGGGACTAGAAGTTTTGGGCTTTTACAGTAAAAATAAAAATTTCGTCAAATTAAACTAAAATAAATTCAAATGAAATGAATAAATGAATGAAACTAAATGATATAGAGTAATAAGCCTAATAACCTTTGCAGTAGTTCATAAATGAATTATGGTAGAGTTTTGGCATCAAATGAAATTTTCTATGGTTAAGGTGCCAAGTGCAACAATTTTGGAAAACATGTGTGTGACTTGGGGACTCGACCAATTAAGTGAGCAGGACCATTATTATATGTGTTATGTGGTGAAGATCCCATCATGAGTTATTATACGTTTTTGGCCAAGTTAGGGACCATATTTGAAAAGAAACTAGAATGAGGGCCGATAGTGTCAACTTGTAGAATCTTGTGTTTGACCCGAGATTTTAACCAAATAAGCATCTTGAACTTATTTTGTACAATTTAGGATAGGTAAGGACCATTTATGGGCTAATATAAGTTTGAGGTGAACTTAGGGACCATTTCTGAAATGGTTTTATGAGGAAGGGCCAAATCTATTGGCCAAACTTGTGGACACGTCATGCCCATTAGGAGCTTGTGTGTGTGTTTGGCATTGTACAAGTTATATCTTTTTTTTTGTGATTTCTCATTTTCCACCCCCTTTCTTCCATAATCCTTTCAAGATGTTACATGAAAATGTATATTTTTTCCCTTTTCCCCCAAATTCGAATTAGGGTTTTGTTGGATTGGAAATCCGCGTTTCATGCCATATTAATGATGTTTATATGAGTTTAATGTTATAGGATCACTCCTTGATTCTGTTGGGTTTTGAGCACTATAACACTCATATGGTGTAAATGCAACCCAAAACGCTTTGGATCTATGTTTTCTCTAATCATACATGCATTTTTTTTTCAAAAGATTCACCCTAGCTAGCATACAGTTGAAGCTATATAATATAAAACTTGGTTTGGATGCTTACCTCTTGAGTAGGGTAGAGTTGTTGACCTTTGAAAGCTTGAGCGCCCCAAGTGTGATGCCTCTGATGGTTCAAAAACACCATTATGCAAGAGGAGACTTTAAGAGAATAAGTTACTTGACTCAAAAGAGTGTGTAACCGATTTTGGCTCACGGGGGGGTCTATTAATAATGTGGCAAATGCTAGGGTCACACTTTGTAAACCCTAATGCTGCATAACTTTTCACATTCTTATGCTCCATGGGTTTAACCTCTATGAATTATCTTATTGGTTTAGCCCATAATCATGGATCATTAGCCCACATTATAAGAATCATTGATTTACATAATCAATCCCCATATATTTAATTACTCTCTTTTGACCACAAAATTAATTCCAAATTAATTCTTGATCAATACTAATTAAATAACTTCATATTAATCTCTTATACTAGTAATATATTAATAAGTCATAAATAACCTTATTCTCAAAAGTCCATCCTATCAAATTGCACAAGTGAAGGCAATCCAAAAGTACCATGCTATAATCGGGTCAAGTACATCCCAGATATATTTATGGGCTTACACACCAAATCCAATAGTCTCCCACTTTCATAAGTTTAATAACTACAGCTGTCAATGTGACTTCAAGATCCGACTTAGCAATCGTAAGCTTTCAAATGCCGTTGTCGAACTCCGATCTAGTCAGTGACACGTCCTGAAGATAAGGGATAATATATTCCTCTGTTCTCAAGATATCTATTTGGAGAAACACATGGAACATACACATACTTATTGTCCTGCAATTTTTTCCTGATTTCCGATTCGTC